GTTGGGCCGATTGAGACAACACTGTCGTAGGGGGTCTGGGGCATGCCCCCGCGAAATTTTTGTGTTCTAGACGCCCGAACATAACATTTCAGACATTCTGGGCTATCATTTTTTTCTTTTTCTCTGTTTTTTCTTTTTTTTTTTTTTCCTTTTTTACCTCCCAAAAGGTGGGCCCCCCCTAAATCCGCCCCTGTGAATTCCCCTATTGTTATTAAAATCTTTTCTGTCTCCTGCTTCAACATTGTTAGCCAATATAGACCTACAGGTGGTCCCGAACATGTGTTTTCTTGAAATATATTTTTGTCTATTTGAATTAATTACCTAGGACCAACGGACCTTCGGACCAAAAGCCCTTCGGTCCAATATCGAAATAGCTTTGGCTTTTTAGACAATGTATCGTGTAAAAGTTCATTACAGTATTTACAAACACAGCCTACAATGAGATGGGTGGGGGTGGGGAGGTATGAGTTTTTAAACGTGTTTATACTGTATGATACAACAATAAATGATGTGTAACAAAGCATGCGTTAATGCATACATTATATGAGCTTAACTGTTCGACAGTACAGTATTTCATTTTCCTGTTATATTGTAAATATACTAATTACACTTATTAAAATATGCAAATCATATTGTACTGTAATGTTCTAATAGATTGTTATTTCCCTTTATAAGTCATATTGCACTGCCAATTGACTTTTGCACTGCGCCACTTGACTTTTGCTCTGCACGGCCGTAGCTACGAGAATTGAAGTAGGGGCCTTGTCAGGCTGTGAGGACTGAGTTTGGGTCCCTGGGGCCGCCAAGGGCCCCGTACGGGGTTCAGGGGCCGGAGGCCCGGGAAGAAGATGCTATTTTTCCATTGTATACACTAATTTTAATGATGTTCTGTAGTAGTATCTAATACAAAGCTTTAAAATACTTGTAAAAAAAATATAAATATGTTTTAAACTAACATCAGGGCTATGATGAAGCAAACAATAATAACACTTTGAATTCAAAACAGGCAGTTTTATTCACGAGAAAGCTTGTTACTCACAGCATTGTTGTTATTTTAGTGTTTTGCCTTTTGACATTGACAAAAATTTAAGTTAGGCCTATGAACGAAAAATAATATTTCTATGGTACACTTTCAATCAATACATGCAGGCGCGGGTCCAGACCTCGAACCGTTTGCCATTGCGAAGGTCAGGGTGAGAGATAAAATGATATTTAAAAAAATATATAAAGTGATTGCGGTGCCTGCTACAACCAAAGACAAAAATAATTATAGACAAAAATGTAATACATTTTTGCATTGCCTGACTGTTAATTAAAAGGGACTGTAATTAAATCGGTTGCACGGTGTATTGTTGAGTTTTTTTTTTTTTTTTTTGGTTTTTTTTTATTTTGATTTATGTCACAATGTACGGTTAATAAAAATCAATCACAGGGAGAATATACATTTGCGTTGATTCTTATAACCTTATTAGCATGTATAATTTTATCATATTTTGTTATTTTAAAATCACAAAAGACAATTATGCATATTTAATTAAGTTCCTGGTAGAAAATCACACCAATCAAGTTTGGTGTTGGGCAGAGTACAGTTGTTGAAAGAATTGCATTATTCTACTTCCTTTAAGAATAAGATAAACAATCGAAATTCTCCAATCAAAATTCTATCTATGCTAATTTAACGATTGGACTTCCTTATGGTTTGGGCGAGTCGAGTGGGCAAGCGGTAAGGAGTAGGGGATTACCCCGATGTTATGGTTCACTTCAGCCACTGTTGTTGTGGAATGATGTGAACATGTATCTACCAAGAAGTGCCTCTTTACGGCTGCTAGGTAGTCTCGGACCACGCCCATACGCAATTCAGCACAATGACGCTGCAAGTTATGGGTTATTCTCCTATCTTTACCTTTAAGGAAATATAAATATATATCGAGCTACGCGAAGTTTAAAATTTAAAAGAGAGGACTTCCTTATGTTGTGGTCATATTAGACTGTAATATTCAACAAACAACATAAAAGATATCAAAATTATTTGATTAAACTTTCCACTTCGGTGCATGAACATAGTAACGCAGTTTTTGGGATGAGATTTACATGACATTTGAGAATGCATAATTCTGCAACTAATGTAAAGTACTCCGGCCTATAAAAGGCCATTGTGTTCATGGACCCTTTGTTGAATTATGCCTCTATGCCCATTTAATCTTACTAGACTATATCTAAAAAAATTAAGAGCCGCTAATTGTATCCGCTCTGTTAAGGGTATTAATAATAATAATAATAATAATAATAATAATAATAATTATTATTATTATTATTATTGTTATTATTATTATTATTTATTTATTATTATTATTATTATTATTATTATTATTATTATTATTATTATTATTATTATTATATCAGTTCGCCCAAAATCTATTTTATTTCATCTTGTTCATCGTAGGTCCATGGTCGGACACAGCTGTTATATACGCGTGGACGCGTCTAACATCACATAAATATCAAATGAACAAGGAACTTCAATTCATGGCCTATTTAAATGAAAAAAGTACTATACTTTCTGTTATAAATATTTAAAATACACAATTTAATCAGCCTGTAAGAGATACGTGACAATTGTATTTAACACTTCCATGGCTTCACAAGAATTTTATAATTCAAAATGAGTGTCTGGCCACTACTATAAGAATCCTGTATCAACCAAATGTGTTTACTTTTAAATATTTTCAAGTTCAAGTAGTAATAAAACAGACGTGGATATTGATAACCGGTAACAGACTGAATGAAGTATTACGTGATTATAATACTTTCCTAATTCTGCAAATAAATGTAGGCCTAAAGTACTCGCAAAGACCATTGTGCTCACTGGACCCTTTGTTGAAGTTAGGCCTATATGCCTATCTAATCTTGACTATGATATCTGAAATTATTAAAAGAGCCGCTCAGTTCGCCCAAAATTTTTATTTGTTTTAAAATTTTTTTTTAGCCGGACGTCACAATGCACAGCTTGGTCATTGAGGCTGACATAGACTTGAAAATAGCGCATGCGCAGAATAATGTTTTATAAGGACGATTGTGAAAAATTCTTGAAATTTTACCAAACTATCCTACGTTTAAAATTATACGACCTGTCTGGCTAAAATACACATTAAACTTTTACTGTACCTATAAATCGGACTAGGCCCAGTTGTACTAAACACACCAAAACACAACAAATTCTAGTTATGCCTACTATTAGGCCTAGCATGGCGACGAGGGGACACCGTATATTATGGGCGGTAGTTATGTAAATTAGTTATAATGATTGACATGGGGGACACCTGTCACGAGGGACACAAAGTTTTAGAACAACAACGTCACCGCCCCAACTCAAGAAGGAGGTGATGAGCTTCACGTGAGAATAAAACTGAAACATACCATACGTACAAATACACTTGCCAAACTACTGACGCTGAACTTGGAGCCAGCCGTGAGTAAGGTAAGCAACGACGTTTGCTACTTTTAGTTTCATAGTATCTTAAGTCACGTATAGTAAATATACAGTATACACTCATCTTTACTTAATGGCGACGAGGATGAAAAAGGCAGGGCCGGCGGAACGTTTTTCAAAGTGTGTGTGGGGGGGGGGGGGGGCCACTTATAAGATGAATCGGAATATGAATCATGCAGATCTGGAAATACCTAGGGGATGTGGGGGATGGGGGTCAACATTTTTCCAAAAAGGAAATGGGATCCTCCCCCGGGAAAATGTTGATTTCTAGATGGCGGGAAATGACCTTTCTCGACTTTTGTGCTAGGTTTGTAATGACTTCTCATTCAAGGTTTCCCCCTCTTGAAAACGGGCAGGTAAACTTTCTCATTCTTATTACAGTAAATAGGCCTGTTATGTGTGTATACATACATAAAAAAAATTAGTTTCAATGAATCGATAAGCTACAAAGTAAAGGAGCGGGGGTTTGAAACCTAGATGGCGGGAAATGAGTTTTTCAGACTTCTGAGGTGTCCTAATTACTTTTAAGTTCTTCAAATTTCAATAATTTTTCCCCATTGTTATTACAGGAAATAGGCCTTATGTGTGTATACATAGGCCTACATAACAATAAAAAATTAGTAGTTGCATACGTATACTTTTTTTAATGAATCGATAAGCTCCAAAGAAAAAGGGGGTCGGGGGTCCTCCCCCGGGAAATTTTTGATATCTAGAAGGCGGGAGATGAGTTTTCACGACTTCTGAGGTGTCTTTTAATTACTTTTAAGTTCTTCAAAATTCAAGGTTTTCCCCTCTTGAAAACAGTCAGGTAAATTTATCCCTGTTATTGCAGTAGATAGGCCTTATGTGTGTATACATACATAAAACAATTGAGTAGTTGCATACGATTTTTTTCCATTAATCCATAAATCCCAAAAAGTAAGGGGGGTCCGGGGATTCTCCCCCGTGAATATTTTGAGTCCTAGAAGGCGGGAAATGTGTTTTCCCGACTTCTGAGGTGTCTTTTAAGTTCTTTAAAATTCAAGGTTTTCTCCTCTTGAAAACAGTCAGGTAAATTTGTAGCATTGTTATTACAGTAGATAGGCCTCAGTGTGTATACATACATACAAAAAATGAGTAGTTGCATACGATTTTTTCCCATGAATCCATAAATCCCAAAAAGAAAGGGGGGTCCGGGGGTTCTCTCCCAGGAAAATTTTGATTCTTAGAAGGCGGGAAATGAGTTTTCCCGACTTCTGAGGTGTCTTTTAATTACTTTTAAGTTCTTTAAAATTCAAGGTTTTCCCCTCTTGAAAACGGTCAGGTAAATTTATCGCATTGTTATTACAGTAAATAGGCCTTATGTGTGTATACATACATTTAAAAAAAAATGAGTAGTTGCATACACTGTACGATTTTTTCCATGAATCCACAAATCCAAAAAAAGGAAAGGGGGGTCCGGGGGTTCTCCCCCGAGAAAATTGTGATTCTTAGAAGGCGGGAAATGAGTTTTCCCGACTTCTGAGGTGTCTTTTAATTACTTTAAAGTTCTTTAAAATTCAAGGTTTTCCCCTCTTGAAAACGGTCAGGTAAATTTATCCCATTGTTATTACAGTAGATAGGCCTTATGTGTTTATACATACATAAAAAAAAAATTGAGTAGTGGCATACGATTTTTTTCCATGAATCCATAAATCCCAAAAAGAAAGGGGGTCCGGGGGTTCTCCCCCGTGAAAAGTTTGATTCTTAGAAGGCGGGAAATGAGTTTTCCCGACTTTCTGAGGTGTCTTTTAATTACTTTTAAGTTCTTTAAAATTCAAGGTTTCCTCTCTTGAAAACGGTCAGGTAAATTTTTCCACTTGTTATTACAGTAAATAGGCCTTATGTGTGTATAAATACAAAAAAAATATGAGTAGTTGGATACGATTTTTGAGTTTTCCCGACTTCTGAGGTGTCTTAATTACTTTTAAGTTCTTTAAAATTCGAGGTTTTCCCCTCTTGAAAACGGTCAGGTAAATTTATCCCATTGTTATTACAGTAGACAGGCCTTATGTGTGTATACATACATTAAAAAAATTGAGTATTTTCCATGAACCCATAAATCCCAAAAAGAAAGGGGGTCCGGGGGTTCTCCATAGGGAAAATTTTGATTCCTAGAAGGCGGGAAATGAGGTTTCCCGACTTCCGAGGTGTCTTTTAAATACTTTTAAGTTCTTCAAAATTCAAGGTTTTCACCTCTTGAAAATTATTATAATGAATCAATGAATCCAAAGATAAAAGTGAAGTTCGGGTTCTTCCCGGGAAAATGTTAATTTCTAAATGAATTTCGATTTCTAGAATGCGGGAAATGACCTTCCCTGACTTCTGAAATGTCTTTTAAATGATTTTTTAAGTTCTTCAAAATTTAAGGTTTTCCCCTCTCTCCCCTCTGAAAATGGTCAGGTAAATTTTTCTCATTTTTTATTTTATGTGTGTATACATAGGCCTACATAAATAAATGAGTAGTTGCATGCGTATTATTTTTTTTCCATGAATCGATAAATCCCAAAAAGAAAGGGTGATCCGGGGGTTCTCCCCCGGGAAAATTTTAATTCGTAGATAGCGGGAATGAGCTTTCAACGACATTTGAAGTGTGTTTTAACGACTTTTATGTTCTTTAAAATTCTAATTTTCTGATTGTAACATAAAAAAAATAAAAAATCAGCTCACGGGTCCTGAAAAGGTAGGTCTAGAATTTTTTTTCCGGTCACACATAAATCTCCAGACATTATTTTTTGCAAAAAAAGTGTGGGGGGGGGGGAGGCACTTTTTCGGTACCCCGGTGGCGTGCAGGGCCTAGTTATTATGCAGCCCTGGATCTTAATTTATTTGAAGGGTCAACTTATTTTTAGAGTTCATCGCACGAGCTAAAGATAATTTCCGAGTTTCAAGCAACTTGTAATACTTTGTGGACCTTAGGCAAAAATCTGAGATGCTGTGGCCGAAGACCCCTGTTGGTCACACAGACCCTTGAAATTTTTTGACAAATTTCAAATTCTATTCTATTTTCCTACACCAAAAGATTGAATTAATACCGTGTCAAAAGAAGAATTAAGACACTTCATTTTCATTATTTCTTGCTTATTGATGATCATTCATATTATCTTTGCTTGTGTAAAATTATCACAAAACAAAATTGGTGGCGCCAATATTTGCCCAAAGGCAGGGGACGGGCGATGTCCCAGAACCTCTAAAGGCGGTCCCGGGGGTAAAGTTTAAGGCCTGTAATCGATCTTACATCCTCATATTCTTTAAAAGTTACTTATGATTTTTCCTTAACGAATGTGTTGAGTTTTCCGAGAGAGAGCTAGCTCTCTGACGGGAATTCTGCCTCCGCAACCAACACCACCACTTTAATAATTTCAATTCTCGCAAAATTAAAGTTTGTTGGGAATTGTTGTCGGTGACTGGTAATAGAAC